ATCACAACGAAGTGGGATTCATACCAGGCATGCAAGGTTGCTTCAACATTAGAAAATCAAGTAATCCACCACATAAATAAAACAAAGGAAAAGAATTACATGATCATCTCAATCGATGCAATAAAGGCATCTGATAAAGTCCAACGCCCATTCCTGATAAAAACTCTCAGCAAAATAGGAATAGAAGGGAAATTCCTGAACATAATAAAGGAAATTTATAGAAAATCAACAGGCAACATTATCTTCAACGGAGAGAATTTGAAAGCATTGCTCCTGAGAACAGGAACCAGGCAAGGATGCCCTTTATCAGTAATGCGAGAAAAGGAAATAAAGGGCATCCACATTGGTAAAGAAGTAAAACTACCCCTGTTCGCAGATGACATGATCTTATACGTAGAAAATCCTAAGGACTCCACAAGAAAGCTACTGGAACAAATAGAAGCATTCAGCAAAGTGCAGGATACAAAATCAACATATGAAAATGAAAATCAGTTGGATTCCTCTACATCAACAATGAAAACTGTGAAAAGAAAATCAGGAAAACAATACCATTTACAATAGCTTCCCAAAAGATAAAATACTTAGGAATAAATCTAACCAGGGATGTAAAAGACTTATACAAAGAAAACTACAAAATACTACTGCAAGAAATCAAGAGACCTACATAAATGGAAAAACATATCATGCTCCAGGAATAGGAAGACTTAACATTGTGAAAATGTCAATACCACCCAAAGTGATGTATAGATATAATGCAATCCCAATCCAAATCTCAACAGCATTCTTCACTGAGATGGAAAAACTAATCACTAACTTTATATGGAAAGAAAAGAGGCCCTGAATAAGTAAAGCTTTATTATAAAAGAAGAACAAAGTAGGAGGCCTCACACTACCTGATCTCAGAATCTCCTATACAGCCACAGTAGTCAAAACAGTCTGATACTGGCACAAGAACAGACATATAGACTAATGGAACAGAATTCAGAACCCAGACGTAAATCCATCAATCTGATTTTCAACAAAGGACCAAAGGTTATTGAAAGGGGAAGAGGCAGTCTCTTCAACAAATGATGCTGGCAAAATTGGGTATCTGTAGAAAAATGAAACGGGATCCATACCTCACATCATACACAAAAACTAACTCAAAATGGATCAAAGACCTAAATATAAACTATAAAGATCATGGAGGAAAAATCAGGGACAATGCTAGGGGCCCTAATATACGGCATAAATAGATTACCAAACATAACTAAAAAATGCACACACAAAAGAAGATGAACTAGATAAACAGGACCTCCTAAAAATTAAACACTTACGCTCAACAAAAGACCTCTCCAAAAGAGTAAAAAGAAAACCTACGGATGAGGAAAAAATTTTTGGCTATGACATATCTGACGACAAGGGTCTAATCTCTAAAATTTTTAGAAAACTTCAACACCTCAACAACAACAACAAAGAGAGATAAATAATCCAATTAAAAAATGGGCAAAAATTATGAACGGACACTTCACCAAAGAAGACATTCGGGCTGCTAACAAACATCTGAAGAAATGCTCCCGACCATTAGCAATTAGAGATGCAAACCAAACTACAATGAGATACCATCTCACCCTGACATTACGGGCACGAATCAAAGAAACAAAATAACAAATGTTGGTGAGGATGTGGGGAGACTGGAACTCTTATGCACTGCTAGTGGGAATGTCAAATGATACAGCCATATGGAAAACGGTATGGCACTTCCTCAAAAAGCTAAAAACAGAAATACCATATGATCCAGCAATCCTAATCCTAGGTGTATACCCTAAAGAAGTAAGAGCCGTGACACAAATAGACATTTGCATACCTACATTCATTGCAGCATTATTCACAATAGCAAAAAGATGGAAGCAACCTCAGTGCCCAGCAACAGATGGATTAAAAAACTGTGCTACATACAGACAATGGAATACTATGCAACAAACAATAATGACACGTCTGTGAAACATCTCACAACATGGAGAATCTGGAGGGCATTATGCTGAGTGAAATAAGTCAACTGCAGAAAGACAAACATTGTATGAGGCTGCTTTTTTAAAGTAACAACAAACCGTTTACACACAGGAAACAAACAAAAAAAAAAACTCTTTGATGGTTACCAGAGATGGGAGGGGGAGGAAAAGTAAAATTACCAGACATAGTAGACACATGTTAATATGGGTGAAGAGAAAGACAATACACAATATGGGAGAAAACAACACAACATGACCAAGGCAAGAGAGGACACTGAGAGGAAGGCAGGAAGAAACGACATCTATGATAACTACTATAGCATAGATGATCCTGCAACAAAAGAATCAATAATCTATGAATGGATACATAGATATGCCAAGAGGTGAGGGAGGGGGTAAGGGAGCACACCCACTGGCAGATACAGGTTCGGTGGAGGAAACTTGTAAATACATGACCGTAGGTGCTCCTCATATATTAATACAGAAAATAGCGCACATAAGCGGCAGAGTCGGGGAATCCTCTTAGACAACTAAACACCTCACGGGATGAAGTTCTTAGGCGCGAAGGCAAAGGACCATAGACTCAGACGATATCTACTTCAACTGGCACAACATAGTTCTTAAAGACAATGTTCTACATCCTACTGTGGTGAGTAGTGCCTGGGGTCTTAAAAGCTTGCAAGTAGCCATCTAAGATAACACTATTGGTCTATACCCTAGTATGGAGCAAAGGAGAGGGAAAAACACTAAAGATTCAAGGGAGAAATTAGTCCAAAGGACTAATGGACCACATGAGCCACAGCCTACACGACGGCCAAGACAAGAACTAGATGGTACCTGGCTATTACTACCGACTGCTCTCATTGGGATTACAAGAGAGGGTCCCAGGCGGCACAGGAGAAAACATAAAACAAATGATCAAATTCATAAAAAAGATCAGACTAACTGGTCTGACAGACTGTAGGAACCCCTGAGACTATGGCCTCTGGACACTCTTCTAACTCAGAACTGAAGCCACTCCTGAAGTTCACCTTTCAGCCAGAGATTAGGCAGGCCTATAAAACAAACAATAACACAAGTGAGGAATGTACTTCTTAGATCAATCAAATGTACAACATCAAATGGGCAACATCTGCCCCAAAACAAAGACAGAAGGCAGGAAGGGACAGGAAAACCACACAAATGGAACTGGGGAAGCAGGGGTGGAAAGGGAAAGGGGGAGAATGCTGACACAATAGGATATTGCCACCAATGCCATGAAACAATTTGTGTATAAGTTTTTGAACGAGAAACTAATTTGCTCTGTAAACTTTCACCTAAAGCACAGTAAAAAAAGAAAAAAGCATCATTTGGCAACCATCACAGTAATCACAGTAATTCAGAAAAAAAACAGCAATGGAATAGTAATAATTCAGCAAAGAATTAATCAACTAGTGAGTGAAAATTTGATGAGGAACAAATTTGAAGGGCATTCACACAACCTTCAAATCTCTCTCCGCAAGCTATTTATTACAAAGAGAAAAACAGTAACTTTACAGTGGATTAATGTAAAGAAAACTAAGTGATCAAAGTTAACACCACCAGTAATGGGACAAGCCAACACTGTGTGCCTCCTGACATATCATATCCCAAATCTCATGAAGAAGCATCTTACAAACCTAATTTAAGGGACAGTCTGATAACTGATCTGTATTCTTAAAAAGGCTGAGGGATTATTCCAGATTAAAACCAAACCCACTGCCATCAAGTCGATTCCGACTCTATCTATAGGACAGAGTAGAACTCCCTCGTAGGGTTTCCAGGGAGCGTCTGGTGGATTCAAACTGCCGACCTTCAGTTAGCAGCCAAACTCTTAACCACTGCGCCATGAAGGCTCCTATTCCAGATTAAAGGAGACTAAAGAACCACGACAACTATCAGTAACACAAGATTCTAGACTGGGCCCTAGACCAGGAGGAAGAACATATCTCTAAAAGACATTACTGAGACAACCAGTAGGATCTGAATATCAACTGTAGATTACACTGTACTAACATGACTTTTCCTGATACTGACAAATATACTATGGTTATCAAAGAGAAAGTCCTTGTTCTTAGGAAAAAATAAACTGAAATACTTATGGAAAGGAGACATGATGTATGTACACTGCTCTCAAATAGGTCAGAATAAAAAAATATGTACATATTTATAGAAACCATACAAATGATAAAGCAATAGGGTAACATAACAATTGATGGATCTGGGTAATGGGCACATGGGGGGGTTCTCTGTACTGTTCAAACACCTTTTCAGTGTACAGTTACATCAAAGTCAAACAATTTTTAAAACTAAAACAAACAAACACAACAAACCAGAACAGAATACGAACTGCAAATCCAACCTACTGCCAAAGGACAAGTCTTCCAACAGCAATTACCTAGGTAACAAGGTTTCTTGTCAGGAGGGAATCCCAAGTGTGAGTTTCTCAAAGAATGTTACTCTACTGGGCTTTTTAAAAACATATTTTCAAGACCTAGAAGGCAACAGGTAGAACTTGTGTCTTGTATATCTTTTAATATTATTCGAAATGCCCACATTCCGATATCCCCACAGAACTGGGCATTCTGTTCTGTTGTGTATTTCATTCTGTTGCGTATAAGGTCGTCATGAGTCAGTGACCAACTCAACGGCAGCTAACAACCACAATATATACCACTAATGTTTATTTCGCTTGGCAGATTGCGAGTATTTACACAGAAAAAAGGAGTTTAAATTTGTTAGATAAGCAGACTGGGGACTCAATGATACTACCTAAAAAAATGCCTGCAGATTGGCTACCTGTCACTGACCCCAACCAATGAGGTCAGTACAAGGCAAGGCTCTGTCACAAAAGCAAATGTACAGGAATTTTCAAAATTAGCTTCTGACATCTTGACCCCTCTAGACTGCCCTGATGCCACCTCAACAACTACAAATGGACTGAAAACCTACAATTAAGGGATAGAACAATTCTCAATTACTCAAGATCACCTTAAAATGCCGGAGAGAATCTGCAATGCCAGGAGCAAGCTCCTTTTCCACCCAGCCAACCATGACACCATCCAACAGGACAGGGTAACATTCACTGTGCAGTCGATGTGGAGCTCCATCAACTGGAGTGACCCCTGGTGAACAGAACAGAATCACAATGAAATGCTTCTTCTAACATTTTAAATCCTCCACAGATGGGTTCAACTGCTTCCTATTTTACTTATCTTATTGGCCTTGACTCTCAAACAGAATGTTTTTGTACTTCTTGTCAAAGCTTAAATCATTTCTTCAAGGATATCCAAGTAACCAGAAATACTGATTGCCTGTGGGGAGGACATCTGGGGAAAGGGGTATAAGGGAGGTTTTTCACTGTGTATCTTTTATTTTGATTTCTGAACCATGTAAATGTATTAACTTTCTCCAAAATTCTAATTAATTAAACAGAATACTCTCTCATGAACCATGAATACTAGAGTGTCACAATTTACCTGCTCAGTGTTTCCTCTGTCACCCTAATATGACCATCCCTATTAAGTTAGTTAGAATGTTCTGTTCTGACTTCTTCCCTAGTGCCAGAGCAAATAACCCTTCCCATTTCTTCTTCTGCAGTGGAATACTTTCTCCACCTCTCCACTTTTTTCCTTTTCTCCTTTCTACCCTTCTTGGACTTCAACATTTTAAATCAATGGTGGAAACAAAATTATTCTTTTCCTTGTAGAGAATGAAGCTACAAATTATATTGATTATATCCTCTGAATCCTGAGTATTTTTTGATTACTTCCTCCAGGGCTCCCTTCGCTCTAACTGACAGAAGTACTTTTAGAGAAAAATTTCTTAACTGTTGACTCAATGGCCCTCTCGATGCTTGAGAATACCTATCACCCGATCTCTGTGAACTTGAAATTTTACTATATAAACATTAATCCCACTGGAGATCCTGCCCACAGACCATCAAAGACACAGAACGCTTGTGGTCTCCAGAACACAACTGGAGCACCCCTGGACTAGAAGACTATGAATACCCAAAGAAAAGGTGACATCTTCAAATATGAAGGTTAACACAAATCAAGGATCAGACCTTGAAAAACTACTGAGAGACAGCGTTCCAGCCAAAGCAGAGATAGTGGCTACAAGGCTACCAGGAACAGAGGCTCTGTATCTTGATGAGATCAGGGGACATATGGGATAACCTCCTTTTAAACTATCTTCCTGCAATCTGACATTCCTTTCTACTTAGAGATGCAAAGGTCCACCCAACAGATGCAGGGAGAGTGACCTGAAATGATATACAATAGCATCTACATTTCTAATGTTAACTGCCACTCTATTTCAAATGCTTTGACATCAAGACAGAAAAGAAAAAAAAGACAAAGACCTATAACATTTACTTCTCTCCTGTTCTCATTTTCAAAGAATACATCTGACCTACAGGAAAACAGCCCAACTCCTGCATAGAAGACTGAAACAGAATTCTTGCAGAAATTCTCTGCTGAGCCCCCAGAAGAAGACTAACTTACCAGTCTGCAGCTGTTAAAAAATATACACGACCAAATAAGACTGTTAAATAGCTGTACATCACGCACCCAAATTGCAGAGCAAAGCCGGAATAGATGTTGTATACACAAACTGTGTGACAACCTCACACACAGCAGTTAAGTGGTTCATCAGACCACAGGGTTCCCCATCTGGGGTGTGCACGGGACAAAGGAAACCCCAGGACTCTGGAAGCAGCCTGCGTACTGTGGTGGTCCTCATCTTGGCAAAATCAGCCCCTCTGTGCACACAGCGGAAATGGGAAAGATAGCGTATGAAGTTCAGCTTGTCAGCCACAACACACAGTCCAGAATCTTGCAGGAAGCCGAGACCTTAATAAAACAAAAGTCATTCAAAAACAGGCTAAACGTTTTTAAAATGTGTATTTTTATTTAACCTTCTGGTAAGATGATAAAACCTCAGAGCACTCTATGGATCATAAACTGGGTTACATAAAAAGTTTACTCTGTTAGCTCTGATGAGTGGAAACAGTTTACTACAAAAAACAAACAAAAAAACAAAAACAAAAAACCAACCCAGACTTAGCAAATCTATTAGTGAAGTCACTAACAGGGAAAGCCTGCTTCCCTATCCCTTCTACCCCCACCTCCTTTGAGGGAGAACACTGAGTAATAAAACAGCAGGTAATTAAATGAGACCCATCCAAGAGGGCTGGATAACATACAAGCATTTGTTAGCCCTAGAAAAATCTACATCAGCATCATTTGTAGAAAAATGCAGTTTTCTTGGCCTCCAATTACCACGTTTTATAAGTTTCCCCTGTGATTCTGATGCAGCTGGTTTAGGGATGGGCATGTAGAACATGCCTCCTAAATAATCTGTCTAGGTAACCCTTGCTCAGAGATGTAAGTAGTCTTCAGTTCCGTAGAAGGGGCATAGGTAATGTATTTGGTCAGTAGAATTGAATTTAAACTATAAAGACACTTTGTCTAAAGCCCTTCAGACTGATAAGCACTTATCAAAATTTACCACAACATGAAATCTGTCTTTAGTGAAGGTGAGAAGTTTACTTTTAAATAGAACTCTCAGGAAGAAGTAAATCTACATTAATCAAATAATTTGGAAAACATTAACTAAAATGGAGCCCATCTAATTTCACCTGTTTTAGAACGCAGATTCCCAGTAGCAAGAAGATATTCGAATGGTCTTGTAAGGTCTGTTCCCAGATTAAAAATCTTCATCAAATTTTCAGTGTTTATGGATACACTAGTCTTCTGAGCCTTCTTGTCTATAGCTATTTTAATAGACACTAACCAAGCTTCTATTTTTTCCTGAAATAAGAAACAAAATTACTTGGAGGACATTATGCTGAGTGAAATAAATCAATCACAAAAAGACTAATATTGTATGAGACCTCTATCATAAAAACCCATGAAAAAGTTCATACACAAAATGTAACAATCTCTGTTGGTTACCAGGGATGGGAGGGGTGTGGGGGGGGAATACTAAATAGACAATAGGTAAGTGGTATCTTGGGTGAAGGGTGAGACAGTACACAATACAGGGGAAACTAGCACAACTTGTACAAGGAAAGGTCATGGAAGTCCCATAGACACATCCAAACTCCCTGAGGGGCTGAATTGCTGGGCGGAGGGCTGTGGGGACCATGGTCTCAGGGAACATCTAGCTCAATTGGCATAACACAGCTTATAAAGACAATGCTCTACATTCTACCTTGGTGAGTAGTGTCTGGGGTCTTAAAAGCCTGTGAGCGGCCATCTAAGATACTCCACTAGTCTCATCCTTTCGGGAGAAGGGAGAATGAAAAGAACAGGATACAAGGAAAAGATTAGTCTGAAGAACTAATAGTCCACAGCTACCAAGGCCTCCACTGGACTGAGTCCAGTACAGCTAGATGGTGCCTGGCTACCACCACTGACTGCTCTGACCAGGATCACAATGGAGGGTTCTGGACAGAGCTGGAGAAGGATGTAGAACATAATTCTATCTCACAAAAAAAAAAGACCAGATTTACTGGCCTAAAGGAGGCTGGAGAAACCCCGAGAGTATGGCCCCCAGACACCCTTTTAGCTCAGTGGTGAAGTTATCTCCGAGGTTCACCATTCAGCCGGGGAGTGGACAGCCCCGTAAAACCAAATAGGACTAATGAGGTGCAGTAGTCCAGTGACAAGGGCCAGAAGGCAGAAAGGGACAAGGAAGCTGGTGATAGGGAACCCAAGGTTGAGTAAGGATATTGGTGATGTGTTGTGAGATTGTTAACCATTGTCATAGGGCAACATTTGTAGTAACTGTTAAATGAGAAACTATTTTGTTCTGTAAGCCTTCATCTTAAGTGAGAATAACTGCACAACTGGAAGAGTGTAGTCAATGTCACTGAACTGTGCATGCAGAAATTTTTGAAATGGTGTATCTTTGGCCATGTGTATTTTCACCAAAAAAAAAAAGCTTGAGAAGTTAGAGGGTTGACATGTTGTGGGGTTGTTAACCAATGTCATAAACAATATGTGTACTACTGTTTCATGAGAAACTATTTGTTCTGTAAGCCTTCACCTGAAGTACAAGAAAAAAAAATAAAAAAAAGAACAAAATTACTGTAAAAATATTAAGTGTTTTAATTATCACAAGTTTCAAATTTACTCTCACACAATCTGTACAATCCATAGCAAAGGCCTTCTAATTTATACACTTGACATGGAAAACATCTATTAACCTGAGGAGCAGCTTCCCAATGTTCTACTATAGGTCAGGTATTTCTGAGGACAGAAAACACAAAGTACTCTGGATCAGAGTTTTCAATCTCGGCACTACTGACGTTTTGGGCTGGACAACTCTTTGTTGCGAGGGGCTGTCCTGTGCACTGCAGGATGTTTCGCAGCATCCCTGGCCTCTACCTTCTTGATGCTAGTAGCACCCCCAATGCTGCGACAATCAAAACTGTCTTCAGGTATTGTCAAATGTCCCCAGGGGAGGAGGGACAGCGACAGGCGCAGAACTGCCAACAGTTGAGAATAATGCTCTAGATTACCGACATTAACAGAAACAATCAAAACTTATTTGCTTTGATCTTGGAAAAGCCTTTAATTTAAATACTCTTATCAAACAGTCAGAAGACCTTCAACCCCAGAAACAAGCAACAAAAAAGCTGAGACCAAAGCTGCAGCCCTATGTTCCCAAGAACAAAAACAACCAAGAAGAATCCAAAGTCCCAAATTATACCCAACATACAGGACATCTGACAAACTAGTAGGAAAGACTGACATTTCCTTCTTATCTAGAACCTGAAACATAATGCAAAGAAGACAAAAGAGACAGAAAAGAGAGAAAGCTGCAGAGGCGGGGAACAGAGATATGATGGTTAAGACTGTGTGTCGACTTGGCTGGGCCATGATTCTCAGTGTTTTGGCAGTCGTATAATGTTGTGAATACTTCCCTGTTGAGATGGGATATGTGATCACCATGATGGAATCTGCTGTGAGTAGCCAATCAGCTAAAAGGTGGTCTACTTGGGCATGTGGCCTGCATCAAATATAAGCAGCCACTCTGGCAAGGCTCAAGGGCTTTCTGCTCGGGCTGGATCCTTCAGCTGGCTCCTGTTCGTCTGACCTCCAGCTCCTGGGACTTGACCTAGTAGATAACCTGTGGTCTTGCCTGCTGATCTTGGGATTCATCGATCTTTGCTGCCTGTGAGCAAGAGCCTGCTCTCTGACCTGCCGATCTGAGGTTTGCCAGCCCAAGGCTATGTGAATCAGGAGAAACCTCTATCTTGACCCACGGACTTGTGACATCCCAGCCTCTACAACTGCGTGAGCCACTTCCTTGATATAAACCTCTCTCTATATACATATATTTATACATTTTACTGGTTTTGCTTCTCTAGAGAATCCAGCCTAAGACAAGAGATATAGGCAAAAGCTCTGTGACGTGAGATGAGAAGAGGCTGAAGACCCTTGTCAGGGGGTCTGTCCATTGTCTCTTAGCAGTTAACTTGCTAAGGCAAGGAACTAGCATTTACTGGGCACATACTACGAGCTGGCGCTGTGCATATTTATTTAACCCTCACGATAAAGTTTTTTCCTTTGATAAATGAGAAAAGAGAGGCTTAGAGAACAGGTAAATGACTCACCCAGTTAACAGATTCTCAGGATGAGAATACAAATGTAAGAATGACTCCAAAGCCCAGGTTCTTCCCAATATACCATAATGTCTTCACGAGGCCAAAAGACACAGAGAAAATTTGAATGTGTAGGGATGGGAGAATAAGGATCAAAATTATCAAAGGAACCACAGTCAAAGCACAAACAGGATGGCACAGTGGAAAGATGGAGTGGGCTGGCACGTGGTCTGTTAATATCCCACTGTACTGGAGAGTAAGTCATATTAAGTTAAAAAGTCTAAAATTTACAGGGAGCAGTGCATTACAGAACCACTGAAAACCCCTGGGTCAAATCTACTTTAGCATTAAATTTTTTTCAGACTTTAGAGATAAAAGGTGTATAAACCATATACTACTTAACACCCATGATGGACTGAGGCAATGGCTTATAATCAAACTTATTTCTACAGTGAAACACACAAACAGTCACGCTAAGGAGAATAAGTTATAAATAGCCTACTGTCACTTCAGGTCAGTTTTGCTGCCAAGTCACATTTTTTCCGGGTTCTGGCACTTTTTAGATCTGAGATTGCAGAGTAGTGACTGTGTGTACAGCCTGTACACATGTAGGTACAAGCAGCAGCAGAGAGCAAGAGACCGCTAAGAAGCTCTCCTATGAAGTTCATCACCCTTTCTTGCAAAAGGTATAAGGGCATAAGACTGTGCTAATCTGAAGCGATGAATAGATAATGCCTATGACAAAGAGGGGAGACACCACAGAAAATGATGAACCGTGACTACCTTATGTCATGAAAGTTTAGAAAGGGCAGCTCTTTAATGTCTCTCTCCACCTCAATCCTTGTTAAGGAGCCCTCAGAACCATCATATGAACCACAAAGGACATCTCAATCTCTGCTGCAACACTCAGTGAAATGACTAAAGAACTGTGTAATTCATGTCATGCACTGTCATGTATCTTCTGAAGATTGTTTTCATGGTCCGAACCCAGAGGTTTAGAAGCTTAAATATAACTGGTGAAAAAGGAAATCAGATACTTTTAAGCACTGAATTCTCTAAAAATGTCCCTATTTTCCCTTTGTTTTGCCTGTTGCTGAAACAGCCCTTAGTAAAGTAACACCTGGGACTTAAGATACATTTCTAACACTGCAGGGTCCAATGAACCCACCATAAGCCAGCTTAAGTAGAAGAGAAATATAAAGTAGCCTTTACCTGAAAGGTTACTGGAATTACCAATAACATAAAACTTCTGCTGCCTCACTTGATTTTTTATCAGGGAAATTCTAGCCTGCTGAAATTTTTCAATCTAATTATGGATAGAGCAGAGAGAAACAAAAGAATTTACGTAAGAATTACTAACTAGGTAAGGAATTACGAGACTTTTACTTTATCTCCATCTTTCATCCTGCTAAGGTACCTCACAGATTAAATCATTTTTAGGACTAATATTCAAAATATAAAATGCCACGAGCCAACTTTGTTATAAAATAATTTTTGTATCACACCAACTTTCTCTACGTATCTGTATAGGCCATTAACATTTTAGCATTAATGTTATGACCAAGACTTTATATTGTCTTTACTTAGACTATATAAAAATACTAAACTTTCTGAACCCAGCACAAGGATCTTTGATTAAGCCTCTTACCACTAAACAAAAAGACCACATATGATGCCAAACCTAGAAATTAAAAATGCGCATACAGAAAACAATACTGCTAGACACAGTCACACTATTTCACAGCGTAAAAGTAGCATGCATTTACCTTTAGAAACATAAGGAAGAGCTGACCAGGTGTAAGAACTTCTTGATTCATTAAACTATCAGGATTCTCCTCCATGCACTCTCCTTTGGCTAAAGCAAAGAGTTTCCGGGTCATGAGACAAAGCACATAAAACTTTTCAATGTTGGAATTCAAGTGGATACAGATGCACTGGCTGTCAAAATAGAAAGAAAAGGCTTAAAATAATTAAGCCATTAATATAACACTTGATATCCTATTAAGCAAGGCCCCTAGGTCACATTTACTTAAACTAATAATCCTAACTCATTTTCTAAAAATTGCGTTTTACCTTTACTGGCAAGGTTAGCAAAAGAAGAGAATATAGTTGTAAGGTCTAGAGCTTGCTGTGCAGTACAACAGTGACTAGCTACATGTGCCTATTGAAATTAATTAAAAGGAAATAAAATTAAAAATTCTGTTCCTCAGTTGCACTGGCCACAATTCAAGTGCTCAGCGTGCGGCTAGTGGCTACCGTGCTGGACAGCGCTGGTGTAGAGCAGGGCTTCTTCATTAATAATCACACAGCAGTTCTGAGAGGAAAGTCCTTGCTTTGGGGAAATAAAGGGGTATGATGTCTGCAATTTAGTCTCAAATGGTGCAGAAAAAAATGTATAACCATATTCAGAGAAAGTGATAAAGCAAATACAATATTAACAATTAGTGAATGTAAGTGTTCAATATACTGTTTTTACAGCTCTTCTGCAAGTTTGAAATGATTTCAAAATGAAACTACCACAAAAGGAGAGAAAATTAGGGTGGCCACAAAAAAAAAGCAGGCCCCTAGCGACCAGGATCCGAATTCCACCCCAAGGTTCATTCTGATTGTCAGACTT